GGGGCAATTGCCCCAAGGCAGCAGCACCCACTTTTGTCCCTAGGAGACCCGGAATCCCTCTCAGTCTACTTGACACTGCCACATACAGAAGGAAGGAATGCATGCTTAGAGAGGCCTAGAGGAATCTAGGCAGACAGGCCTTGCTGGGTTTCCCCACTCAGTCTGTTAGCATTAGATCATACCTTTTTGTCCAATCATATTTCTATATGGCTGTTCATATTTTGCTGAACCTAAACATAAATAGACAATTCCCTGTACATCTTTGGGTCTTCATTCTGAAGGCTCCCATGTACATGTTACTAATACATTTGTATGCCTTTTCTCCAATTAATCTGCCTTTTGTGAGTTGATTTTTCAGTGGACCTTCAGAGGGCGAAGGGAAACTTTCCCTTGCCCCCTACACTGTAGAAGGAGATCATGGCTTAGCTGACCTGATTTTATCTGTTTTTCTAATTGATACTGATCATTGTTATCACATTAGTTTTATAGAATTCATTATGTCCATTCTAGTCATCATATTACACATGGGTACATCTGACAAAACCTAATGTCTACATTTTGTTTACAGCCAATGGCTGAAAGCCATTCAGTAAAATTTACCATTTAACCTTTTACAATTCAGCTAATAGGTTGGTTAGATATTTTGTTTGCTAATTGAACATAGAATGCTCAAGATGTTTGCCCATTTCTATTTGTTTAAAATAAATCTTGTTTTCATGTTGAATTTTCTGTCATAGTGCTGCTTTTATGTGGGCACTGTTTTTCTGCAGTTTTGAATTTCAAAGAGCAGAGTGGTGGAGGATGTATTGATAACAAGCCCCCAAAATAAGGTCTAACAATTGCATTTTAGTTTTTAAATCCCTCCTCTTTCTCAGTATCTTATGATGCTCACTGTTTATATAATGTGCTGTCTCACTATGTATCATAATTCTTGATATTTATATTAAACAAGATAGACCTTTTTGTTGTTTAATCTCTGAGACTTGAACAGTTTTCCCAATTTGGTATCAGGGCTTGAGAGAGAATATGTTGAAGTGTTAACAGAAATACATACATATGTCCATGTAATTTATATTTTAACCAAAGATCATCTAAGCCCAAGGATTTACTGTGTGCTCAGTGGCATGTAGCAATCAAGGTCATATAGAGCCCTGAAGTTGCTTGCATTTCTGGAGCATGCACACGTAATTGAGATCTTATTAATAATCTTCCCAGAAGCTCAGGGCATACTGACAAAATTCTGTGATTCTTCAGTTTATTTTGTGTTTATTATTCTTTATATAAATCGTAGGTTTTTTTTGGAAAAGGTTCTATATTGTAGCAGTAGGAAGTTTCATAAGCCTTTGGGGAGTGTGCTCTTGACTTTCTGACACAAGGCAATATGAGTAATTGGAAGAAGGTTATAGCTTTTTTTCCAAAGCGTGTTTTGTGTAATACTAATTGTATAGATTGTTAATAGATATTATATGGGATAGAAGGAGTTGTATAGTTAAGTAAGTTTGGGAAACACAGGGTTAAACAATGTTAAATAAGTTTCTTTCCTGAAAGGCTTCTGAACATTTGTTTTATGGCAGCGTGCTTTGTGAATTCCTAAGGGGGGAATGGATCTACAAAGGTTTGAAAAATCCAGAAACACAGGATAAACTTATTTACAATAAATATGCCATTGTCCCTGTGTTTATAGACTTTTTGGGCATTTTATACTCTTATTTATTATGTTTTTTTCAGATTAATGATTGGACCCATTGCTTTAATTCTAAAGGTACTTTTTCTGAAAGGTCTTGGGAGGTTGAAGAAAAACATTGAACATACTTTGAAAACATAACTAACATACTGTGTAAAAATTTGTTCATCCTATATTTCTCTCTTTTTCAGGCTCATTGTATACAGTGTTAGATTTCTCAAACTTTTTCATTAGAGACCCTTTTTTATATGGATCACTTTCAGACATTAAGGTTCCATGCAGCCTATTTTGGGATATATTAGGTCTAGTCATAAAATAGTCTTAAATTTGACTATTTCATGAAGTGTTCAGTTTTCATAACAGAGAAATTTCAGAAATTTACTGTGTCATATTCACTGTTAGATTTTCATTTGATATTATTATCCCAATTCCACCAATTACTAGCTCTGTGACTAGGCTTCAGTTTTTGCATCTAGAATGGAGACAGTGATAGAACTTACTTCTTAGGGTTGTTGTGAGGTTAAGGCAAATCTTGCAGCGTCACACATTTAACATAGTACCCGGTGCAGAATAAATACTCAGTGAAGCTTGTTATTGTAGGTAATTATATGTGCACATGTCCCTCTCACACTTTAGAAATAGATGCTTTATCTTTTGACCTTGCTTTTAAAATTTTCTTAGCATGAGCCACATGTCTAGGTGCTATATTGAAATTTTAATAAGAAAGCCTTTTGGTTTTATAGTTTTTTCTAAACAGAAAATGGCTAGGGAAACTATTTGTAACATTAATCAAAGAGGTTGCATTTAGGGGATATCAATACATGTACTTGTATTCTATAGCAAAAGTATGTTCTGGACTGAATCTTTAAGAGCTAAACTATTAATATCTATGGTTAGGCTATTGATGTTTCAAATGCTTGAGGGAAGAATTCAAATAGTCCCTGAATTGCACATGTAAAAACACACGCCTGTAAAATTGCCAGGTTTCTTGAGAATCGTGTATCACATTTGTAATGAAGCAGTGTCTTGAGCTTTTCCCCCAGTTGCCCTCCATACTTACTGAACACGTTCCACAGTTCATGTGCAGCTTTTGTCTGTTCAGTAGCAGATTCAGCAAGTAATAACTGCAGGCAAAATAATGAGAGGCTAGTTAAAGGAGGTCAAAGTGGTTAAAATAAATTGGTGATAACTGTTTAGAACCATCATTCAGAAGGATATCCTTTAGAATTTCTTGCAGTGCAAAACTGTTGGCAACAAATTTTCTCACCTCTAGTGTTTCTGAATGCCAGAGGAAAAAATGCATATATCCAGGGTTGTTTTCAAGAACAGTGATACGAGTAATGGCAGAATTCTCATCAGGAGCAAATAGCAAGATGGTAGACGGGCAACAAAGTTATTAATTTTTGCAAAGAAATTATAGAATTATAGATTTTTCTTTTCTAATTGTACGAACGATTAATAATAAAGTTGAATAGTTTAATCTTTTAACTAAAGAAGCACAAATTGGAGAATAAATGAATTAAATTTATAAAGCTATACATGAGTTAGATAATATTTTACCTGTCTAGTGTCTTAACTGCTTAAAACCTTGATTTCAAGTTTTATACATAAGTCCTCAGAAGAAGATAGTCTCACTTGACTGTGGTTTTAACATTTTAGATTTATTTTATCTAAAATTTTTGTGCATTTTATTTTTTTAGATTCTATAATACTATGATTAATAAAATATTTCTTTTTATTTATAATTCTTTAAAATGATATTAATGCCAATTTCAAAGGGAGCATAAATTTATTCTTGCATATCTTGTACAGTTTTCTACACAGTGAACATACATGTTTACTGAGCTTTATTACAGTTAAAATTATATCATTTTTTTAAATGTGCTTATAACAACAGTCATAATTCTAGGGGTTTTTTGAGACAGAAAATAGTTTTTGATGACTATATAATATTTTATACTTACCTGTTCCTCTGTTGTTGAACATTTAGATCATTTCCCTCTCTTTCAAAGTCCGTAATAGATAATACTAAAGTAAACATTTGTGCAAATAGAATATAATTTCTTTTGATTTTTGTCTATTGGATAAATTCCCAAGAATTACATTATTGAATCAAAGGAGTCTGAACATTTTAATACTTATTTATATTTTTATATT